TACAATTGTTTTTTTCCTATTTAAAATGTAAATTATCTTGTTCCATTGGCAAAGTGTCTCACTTTCGTACTGAATTGGGAAAACAAATGCACTTATTTTACGTAAAAATTGCTTAATTAGATTTCCATTTTTTGCAGTGTACCAGTTGATAGGGTACAATACCATACAAAACGATGTTTAATGGGAAGTGAATATACTATGAGATAAAATGAGAGTTTATGACATAATGAAGTATGAAATAAATCAATTTGATATGGTTCTGAACCACTGCGGTCGCGGTCCAATGGCCTCTCAGTACACAGAAAAAGCTAAATGTCCTGGTATTTTAAACGATTAAACTGAAGAAAGTATGAAGAAAAGTGTTAAAAATTATTTATCCTTTATTTCTCATTCATCTCTTTTAATTTTGTGATAATGATAAAAGAATTTATTAGTTATGTTTATTATATCTAAATGTTCACCGAGTGTTAGTCAGTTGGCATTTCATCACTCTTTTAAATACTGAACTCACTGCAAAAAATTCAAATCTCAATAAGTGCTATTTTTCTTAAAAAAAGTGTATTTTTTCTTGAATTACGGGGGGTAAGTGAGAAACTTTGCCATTGGAAGAAGAGAATTTACTTTTAAAATAAGAAAAAATAATTATGTTGTCTTATTTCAAGTGCATGTTATCTAATTATCTTACTTTGAGAGTAAAAATACTCATTCAATTGGCAAATCATTTTATTTACCTACTTAAATTAAGAGTAGATACACTTGATTTAAGACATTTTTACTAATTTTTAGATCGTTTTTGCAGTGCTGTAAAGTGCCTTGAGATGACATGTGTTGTGAATTGGCGCTATATAAATAAACTGAATTGAATTGGATTTAAAAGGATGGGTTAAAAGTACAGGACAAATTTCCCCTCTTTAGGATAATTAAGGTATATTTTATATCTATATAGCGATGGATAAACTTTGTAGATATATACAGTTAGATATACGTACCATAAAGTTGATATGATACAACTCTGCACAATACAAGATATGTTTTCTGGTTTCATATAATACAAAATAAACCTAGTTAACATTAACTGGTATGAATTAATACAGTAGTAGGTAATTTAGTGCTTCCTGCTTTTACTGTATTACAGAGATGGGAAGTAAGGAAGTACAAATACTTTGTTACAGTACTCAAGTAGATTTTTCTGATATTTTTACTTCACTTTACTACTTATTTTTATGGGCGACTTTTTACTTCTACTCCTTACATTTTTACACAAATATCTGTACTTTCTACTCCTTACATTTTAAAAAATTGGCTCGTTACTTTAGTTTTGAATCATTTCAATGGAGTTACCGTTATTATTTTTCACGTCATCAATACCAAATTCAATCTAATTGGATGGGAATCTACGTTGCATTTGACGCACCACTACAAGATGAATCGACAGATTCGGCGGTATTCATTGGCAGCAAATCATTGCAGCTTGGTGGCGGTGGCGTTAGCATAGTAGCATGGACGACGAGATGATTGAAAATGAACACAACGGAGATCTAGTCCTATTGGCAGACATCCATTTAAAATGTAGGCAACGGCATGAAAAAAGTGGTTTCTACTTTTACTTTTATACTTTAAGTAAATTTACAAGCCTGTACTTTGTTACTTTTACTTGAGTAAAGAAGTTTAATCAGTACTTCCACTTTTACCAGAGTATTTTTTAACACAAGTATCTGTACTTTTACTCAAGTACGGAAAGTGAGTACTTTTGCCATCTCTGCTGTATTGTGATAAATGAGTAGATTTAATACACAACTGGGTAAAATCATGAACACTGTTTCTGTGATCTGGTATAAGGAGCAGGCATCCCCAAAGTTGGTCCTCGAGGGCCGCTGTCCTGCAGGTTTAGAGGTTTCTCTGCTTCAGCACAGCTGATTCTGATGATTGCAAAAGCCTGTAAATCAGCCATCAATTAAAATCCGCTGTGCTGGAGCAGGAAAACCTCTAAAACCTGCAGGACAGCTGCCCTCCAGGACAGACTTTGGGGATGCCTGCTTTGGAGTAATGATATACGATGCAAATTTTAATTTAGAAATTAGATAATGTTTTTTTTATATGTGATGGATCAATTCTATATATAATTTGAATATGACATGATACAAACATAACTTTCATAATTGTCTTCATGGGTAAATATAACACAGTAATGTTTGCAGGTCTAATTTTTGAATCCTTCAAACCTTAAAATGAAGTGAGTGACATATCTTTAGGAATAACTGTACATATAATAAATTTTCCCTCATCTACCAGGCAGATGTTCTGCACTAAAAGTAAAAATAGACGGTGTTATAAATCCCAATCACCTATCAGCGGCGTTCCAATGGCAGTGGCAGGTAGAGTGTCGGATACAATGATGAGGAAGACGGAGTAGCCGAGCAGCAAAGTGATCTTAAAGGAGACTCTCTCTCCGCTGTCCGGAGGCAGATAGAAACCGACGATGTCCATTACCATTAGGAAAATGCTGGGCAGCAGCAGATTCACGGTGTAAAACAGAGGCCGCCGTCGGATCACCACCTGGAAAAGGAAGTTTCATTTCAAGCTTGTTTTTAAGAAAATCAGTCAGAAAACAGTTTCTATAATTAATCTGTTAATAATTTACAATTGGAACTTTTTATTTTCCTTCATTCAGATATACTCCTTTTGCTGTTCTGCAACTTCAGCACCATCCCTGCTCTAACTTCACCGCATCAGATAACTGATCACTTCCTCAGTGTGTTATCATGGTCTGCAAATCCCCGGCAGTAAGCCCTTTATTTGGTATAGATATGCTGAAGGTAGGATGCATCTAAAAGTTGCCAGATCTGAGCAACATCTGATCATCTAAGCAGCTCACATGTCGAATTTGTCAATAAATCAAAGGTGTAGTGGAGGATGTTCTTTTTCCAGGTGGATCATCAAAATAATTGGCCCTCCTAATTGTCAGTCATTCTGGTGATATGTTTACATAAGGCCGTCCTACGCGCTCGTCCCCATTTTTACTTACCGGTGGTGAGTCTGACATAGTGGAAAAATTGCAACTCTTCTTTTGGAAAGTAAGCTTGTATGAGTGATGCAAACAGCAACTAAACAGAGCTCCTATTAAAGGGGAACACCGTTTATTAATTTTTTTTTTTACATTGGGCCCTTGATTTTACATTATTACATCATGTTCTACTCACCTATATGAGTTTTGTGTCATTTGGAGCTGTTCTGAAGATATTCCGTTGGGTTATATCCAAGTAACGTCTTCATAGTTTATTCTTTATTGTACGTCAGCATTCATAACATGTAGGAGAATCACTGTCACCCAGACATCCGCAGTTATATTTTTTATATTTATATTTTTTTAAACAAAGCGGAGTGTTTTAATTCTTTCCATTTAAAATAAAAAAAACATTAATATGTTGACTGGAAGTTAGTGAGGAATCAAAATAAATATGAAATAAAATCATATCATAAAATTTATAAAACTGGAGCTCCTTTGAGTTATTACCTTATAATGACTTTTAAACTTGATTAATTGGGAACAAAATACAGAAAAAATTTATATCCAGACTGACTTAACTGACTTAATTAGTTTACCAGACTTACTAACCAGACTTAATTAGATGAGCTCTGATAGCTCAGTGTGAAAAACAGCTGATACCAGACTGCTCTTTATTTCCAGGATGTTCCTTTTTTCTTGTTTTGTTGAACTCAAACATATAAGAAAAACTTTTTGGCTGATAAAAGCTGATTTAGTTTTTTGATTGGATCCTCACAAAGCAAAACTATGGGAGAGGATTAGGGCCACTGAAAAAAAAGGAGTTAGCTGATTTTTTATTTTAGTTTAGTTTAGTTTTCTCAGTTTTCTTAGTTTAATCTCAGAATTCTGACTTTAATCTCTAAATTCTGACTTTTTTTATTGTCAGAATTCAGTCAGAATTCTGAGATAAAAGTCAGAATTCTGAGATAAAGTCAGAATTCTGAGAAAAAATGTAGAATTCTGACTTTAATCTCAGAATTCAGACTTTTTTCTCAGAGTTCTTAGTTTAATCTCAGAATTCTGACTTTAATCTCTAAATTCTGACTTTTTTATTGTCAGAATTCAGTCAGAATTCTGACTTTAATCTCAGAATTCTGACTTTTTTCTCAGAATTCTGACTTTAATCTCAGAA